GGTTTTTTTTTTTTTTTTTTTTTTTTTTTTTTTTTTTTTTTTTTTTTTTTTTTTGTCCTTTAAGACTCTGATACCTTCTGAAGCAAAAGGCTTGCTCGACTCCCTGTTGGATGTTGTTTCTGGCATCAGTTCCCTACTTGCCAAAGCCCAGCACGTCTTCGAATACCTTCCGGAATTTCTTCACACACTCAAAATGACTGCCTTACTAGACATGCCGGACTTTCCACAGGTCTGTGTTAGACCTCTGCTCTGGGAAATATTTTAATTTGCTCTTTCTCTGTATTTGTTCTTTTTGCCATTATTTCTCTTCCCACATCTAAAATTTGCATCAGACAACACTAAATAGAAATGGCAATACCAATACCTGTTACTGTCTCTGGAGACCATAGCGTGTCAAAGAAGAAGGCCTGGCATCTTAAAAACTGGGTGGAAGAGACATTGTCCATTTACATCCACCAATGCGGAGGTTGGGATAGTTCATGCTTTGTCTAGGAAGCGAGAAATTACTAACTCGATGATTAGCACAAATGAGATTTCAAGGGCTTGCTTAACTTAATTCAGAGAGCAGATTACTTTCAAAAACCTTAAAACATTTATTTACATATAAATAATTGGCTTACACATTACAGATCATTTGCTGCAAATGCAAACACAGACTTGAATTAGGTTAGTGGCTTGATATTAATTTTTGCTTGAACTCTAATTGTCTGGAATGGAACTAGCTGGGAACAGACAAGGAGGACACTGGGTCATCTCAGGCTGGGAGTGCAGGATGAAAAGCCAAGAGCAGTGTCCTATCAGTCTGTCAGCTGATAGATAATTCGCACAGCTGTAAAATATCTGGATAATTTGACCATATATATATATATATACACACAATAAGATCATTCATTAGTCTGCATTAGGGATACTTTATGTATTGTAGCAATTTGAATAGTATCCCAAGGGCACAGGAGACAAAACCAGAAATTCCCTTCTTTTGACTTGTTGAACATCTTGTTCGTTCAGTCAAAGAAAGGCTGACACTTCACAAGCATGTGAGGGAATTGCTTTAAGTCACTGTGTAATTGCAATTTATCTTTCTTCTGTTCTCAGGTTTCACAAAATGACCACACCAGACGTTCTGCCTTTGATTCTTTCCAGTCTGTGATGAAAATGGTTTGTAAGGAGCAAGAATCTTTCCTTAGCAATTCCAACATGTTCATTAATTTGCCCAGAGTTAATGAATTCTTAGAAGGGGACAAAGAGAAATTCAACATTCCTGAAGACTCAAGTAAGACAATAGTGATCTGTATTTGCTTAGCTTACTTTGTATATGGTGATTAGTCCTGCTTTGTACTAAATGTTCCCTCTCTGTAAGAGCCAGGTACATACTAGCATAGAATTTTCTACTGCTACTCCTTTGCCTTTATCCTTTAATGTTAGCAAAGTCCGCCATGCTGGCATGGCAGTTGGCTTTAGTAGGTCACAGTGCCCATCAGCACAGCCTAGTCCTCACCTTTGTCACCAAGGAACCAGGCCTGAAGCATCAGACACACCTTGAGTCCCAGCCCTTTGTCATTACAGGCTGACTGGCATCAGTGAGGGCCCTAGACACAAGGGCCATGAGACCATATGAAACTTGCCAAACGACTATCTCTTATGAAGAGACTTTGAAAACGTTTATGGAATACTGGAGTTAAAGTACTAGTTGATGTTGGTGCAATATTTTTTGAAATCCTAGTTTTATAATACACATTTATCATGAACTCTTTAGGTGCCCCCCCCCCTTTCCCATATAGAGAACTTGTCTGTGGTCTCCTACCAGTTTGCCATCTATAAAGCTCAGTTGCAAATGGAAGTGGCTCGATAAGTCATAAGTAGCTCCATTTTTAGTGAATAAATATCAGTTAGAAAGGCACACTGAATGTCCTCATGAGGGTTTGGGCAGTTCAGCTCCACCCAAAACAAGTTGTGCTGTCTCTGACCAAGTTATCTTCTATCTCTGAATCATACTAGTTTCATTTATGACATGTGAACAGTAGCACCTATCTCGTAAGGGTGTTTTGAGGTTAGTGGGGATCATTTGTTTCATAGCCACAATGGTATCTACATATTCCATACTATGTAGCTAATCCCTCCACATTTAGTGTCTTAAGACAACACTCACTTGTCATCTCATTTTCTGCAGGTATGCCTCCAGGCATAGTGAGCTCATCTTCTGCTTGAGGGCTCATAAGGCTGTAATGAAAGTGTAGGGCAGAGCAGGGCCGGGGTGTCTCATGAGAGGTTCGGGTGGTGGTGGTAGAATTCTTTTCTTTGCAGCTGTAGAACTTAATGAAGGCTGTTTCATCTTTAAGGCCAGAACGAGTATCTCTCTGACTCTGAGTCTTCCACTATCTTTAAAGGGTTTATCTTATTGTTCAGCCCTTTTGATTAATCTAAAACCAACCAGTTAAGAGACTTTAAAGTGCCTTAGCCTTGGCTTGAAACCTAATCACAAGCTTGTCGACCATCACATGCCCAGGTCCTGTCTGCTGTCCACCATCATATACACAGGTCCTGTTTACTGGAACCAGCAGGTACCATAGTGATTAAGGTGTTGGATTCCCATATGGAATCCCAGAAGGAGAATGGAGGGAGAAGGGATTACAACATGGCCTTCCCCCTGAGGGGATAATTTCTCACTTTTCCTCTCTCTGTCTCTCCTCAGTGACTGCAGACACCCTATGGCAAAAAACGAAAGTAAAACAAAACAAATAAACAAAAACATTGTCTACTACACCCAAGACATGTTTTTACTTATTGATGATCCTGGATTTATGATCAGATTGCATCCAATAAACTCTTATAGGTTGAAATATCATAAGGTGAAAATACATTTAATACACCTAACTCATGGAAATACGGTTTAGCCTAGCCTAACTTAAACAAGCTCAGAACACTTACATTAGCCTGTAGTTGGGCAAAAATCATCCAACACAAAGCCTATTTTATAATAAAGTTGTTATAAAGAATTTTGAATAAAAATGTAAAATTTAAAGTATGGTTTCTACTGAATGCATATTACTTTTACACCACTGCAAAGTTAAAAAAATCCTAGGTTGAACCATTATAAGCTTGGGATGGTCTGTGTTTTGTTCCTGGCTAGATTTGAGGATAAAGGTGTTGGGAGGATGTTAGCTTGTTCCCAGTTGATGGATAATTTGCATAGTTATCAAGTATCTGGGTACTTTGGTAGTATAGACACACATTAAGGCTTTTCATATATAATGTTTATTTTTTATTTTCCTAATCCTCATTTCTTATTCTTTTTTTGCATTTTGGATTTTAAAAATATATTTTAAGTTATTTACTTATTTCTTCTTAGAAAGAGACATAGAGATGGGAGCCCCCAGTGCAGTCGTCACACAGTAATCCACCCCCCTGTCTCAGTCAGGCCTGTCTGGATCACTGGCGTGTGGTCTCCTACCAATTTGCCAACACACATTCAGGGAGGTCACAGATATGAGCCCAGGCCTTGTTTTTCAAGAGCTGAGAACTTTGTAATAATATTTGATTACCAGTCATTATGGTTATGTAGACAATTTAATTAAGTGAATATTTGATTGAAACCAACTAGTATCAAAACAACAAAGAGAAGCAATGCCATGAAGAATTAGATATTTGAGTAAAAATAAGGCAATTCAATTAATCAAAAGCATAAGTTTAATAGTTCTGTATAGGAGCATCTTGGAAAATTCTGGAATAACTTGTAAAGCTAACTTCATAAAGAAAACTTAATTTTGGTTTCAACATCATGATTGTTGAAATACAAATTTTCTTGATTAAAAACATTTATTTATTTGTTTATTAAAGTTTATTTATTTTATGAGCAAGATGAGGGTGGAAGAGAGACAGAGACAGAGAGAACCTTGACAGAGCCTTATCATACTGTAAGCCCCTTTCCCCAGCCCTTCGAGATCCCAGGAGCCTGTGCATATACGGTGCACAGCTAGGCTGTGAGACCTCCAGTACTGCAGTCTCGCCTGCTACCAACTGTTACTGAGGTTGGGCCAGATCAAATTTTCTAATTACTATTTCCATTTCAAATGTCTATGTCATTTATTGTTCTTACTAGTAGCTCAGTTAGACACACACATGCTTTACTTTTTTTTTTTAACTCACTGAAGTGAACATGGATTGTGAAGTTTCTTATGAAACAAGAGCCTTGAAAACATAACAAAGAAATTTATTCCTCGTTTATTTACAAGTTGAGTGTCTTGAAAAGCATATCTAAACCACTCATTGAAAAATAAGGCTGGGGACCAGCAGTTAGAGTAATGGCTATGTTGCTTAACTCCCATGTAGTCGACCGCAGTTCGAGTCCCGGACTTGGTGGCTTAAACTCACACCAGACTCATGGGCATGCGTGCCCAAGATCCTGAGAGGAGAATGGAGGAGAAGGGATTGCAGCATGACCATCCCCCTGGGGGGTGATTTCTCTCTTTCTGTCTCCCTCTGTCTTTCTGGCAAGCGCACGTGCCTTATAGCAAAAAACCTCTCAAAAAAAAAAATAAATAAATAAGGCTGGCCCACTCCATAGCATAGTGGTTAAAGGAACCAGATCTCACACAGCCAAGCATGGTTAGCCAAGCTCTGGCAGCTTGATAAGTCTCAGGGCACATGGGTTTATGTGTCCCAAATGCTGACAAGATGGAGAAATGGAGGAGAAAAGGTTGTGGCATGACCATGCCCTACTGGAGGGGTGCTTTCTCCCTGTCTCTGCCTCTCTGTTTTTGTCTGGAGAGCATATGTGCTCTCTGACAATTAAAAGGAAAAGAAGGCATTGTAGACATATATATATATATATATATTTCTCCTCTTAGGATCTTGGGCACACACACACATGCTCCAGGGTGAGTTTAAGCCACTGGGTCCGGGACTTGAACTATGGTTAATTACATAGTAGTCCAGCGACATACCCATTATGTCATCTGCTGGCCCCAGGCATTGTAGATATTAAAATAAACTTCCCTATTAATCTGGACATTGTGCATCATACTGAGTAATACTTCTTTTTTTTTTTCTTTGTTTTTTTTTTTTGTGACAGCACCATTTTGCTTGAGGCTTTATCAGGAAATTTTACAGTCTCCAAATGGTGTTTTGGTGTGGTCCTTCCTAAAACCTGTATTACATGGGAAAATACTGTATACACCCAATACTCCAGAGATTAATAAGGTCATCCAAAAGGTAAGTTAAAATGAATGAGCATTGTATAAACCACATGGACATTGTGTGGGGAAGAAATTATTTTTAACAATTTCCTGATTTCTGTGTGCATTAGATCACATACGATTTTCTTGCATTGACTACAATTTATTTGGCCTAAGTGCTTTCCCTGTTAGTGTAGTTGCTAAATGTGGATTTTCTGAGATCTTTTACAGGACACTTTGGAGGCAGGGTGTGCTAGAATAACTAATGCAGCAAATTTAAAGTACTCTACTCTTAAAATGTGAGGACCATTAGACAGATGGGAGGACGGCTTCAGGCTGTGAAAAGGGAAGATTTCCAGCAAAAGGTGTAGAACACATGCTGATCTGTTTTGCTTGGTGGATGTGCTAATTAGGATAGAATCAGAAGCAAAATGATGTATCGACAGTTAATATTTTTAGGAATGATATTTTTTGAATTACCCATGTGGTTTCTCTGACCTGTTAGAGAATAAAGTGAGGTGAAGAAACAAAACAGTTTCTCAAGAGGAATTAAGACATCACATAGTTTGATCGTTTTCTCATCATCTGTTGTCCGACTTTTCCAACCTATTTACTACAGGATGCACTATTATTAATATTTGAATATTGAAAAAATGATTATGTTGTATTTTGCTGAGGTCTTTCCTTGTCTGATGATGGCTCTGAACCTACAGGTACCTTGAAAGGGAACATTTCTACCAAGGACATGGGATGATTTGATCTCTCTATAAACACAGAAAAGGAGATATCTGGTCTTTTAGTAATAAGATTCCAATCTTCAATAATATTAACAACTTAAAAATGTACAAGTTAACAGTGGCATCGATAGCATGTGCAGTGAAGTAATTTCTAATTGAGCTCACTTTACACGTCCCCCGCATACCCAGCAATTGTTTCTGTGGACTTCCTTCCTCACCATCAGTCATAGCCTGGGCTACATTTAACTCCCCCTACCTGAGTGCTATCATAACTTTTTTTTTTTTAAATTTTGAAAATGTCCTTTGGAGGAGATTTTGTCAAAACTCTGAACTCTTATTGTAGAATGATACTAAATGAGATGCTTGGAGTGAAGTGTCTTCCATGGCTACTACTGTGGGACTGGTCTTGGAGGGATGCTGAGATGGTCCAGGGACAATGTTAACCCACTTTCCTTAATGTTTAGTGTATTCAAATCTTTACAGTCGAGGATATTTGAGAAACTATGTAAAGAATTAATAGGCTATAAATTTATTTTATGACTATCTATTATTGGATGCTAATATTATTAACAACATATATTACTGTAGTATTACAGATTATTTATTCTACAATATAGTCGTTAGCATGACATCTGTTTTCTTTTTTTTTTTTTTTTTGGAGATGTTTTTGCTATAGGGTGCGTGCGCTCAACAGATAGAGAGAGACAGAGACAGAAAGCGAGAAATCATCCCCCGGGGGGATGGCCACGCTGCAATCTCTTCTCCTCCATTCTCCTCTCGGGGTCTCGGGCACACACACACACACACACACACACACATGTGCCTGGTGTGAGTTTTAAGCCACCAGGTCCAGGACATGAACCACGGTCGACTCCATGGGAGTCCAGCGACATATAGCCATTACACTAACTGCTGGTCTCTGCATAACATCTGTTTTGAAGAGCTTACATTTCTGTGCAGAAGAGAAGGCAAATAGCTGAAGGAGTAATTTAGTTATGACAAGGGATATAGTCCATGGGGAAGACAAACAGATTGAGGAGCAACTCATTTCCCTGGGAAGAAGGATATGGAAACATGCCTGGAAGGAGGAGATGGAAGGCTCCTGTCTGGTAGGAGCAGGACGATGGGCCTAGACAGAGGTGCAGGGAGGACACCAAGTCCATGTGCTGAGAATGATGGGAATTTAGGAAGAATCACCTCCAGTTCCACTGGTTCTTGCTTACTCCCTACTTTGATTTTATAGGCAGTAAGAAGAACTGGTAGCGTTTCTGCTCAGTGTGGCTGACAGCTTCGTATGGAGGTTTCCTGGTTTTGAACTTATAGGACTGACTTTGCGGTGTTGTACCTAAAGTGAATTATTCTAGCAGTCAGCTGTGACTATTTATTTTTATGAAAGTTGGTTCTAGTCATTAGACTCATGATCTAACACCCTGCATGGCTGGGGGCCCCTCAGTTGCTCTGCTACTTGGGTTATGTAAAGCAATATCATCTGTAAGTCTGTAACGACAGATGCTGTAAATTGTTTACTACTTAGTCTTATTCTCTCCATTACTTCCTATTTGTTGGAGCCACATGAAGTTACCATATTAAAAATAATCTATAAAAATGTGTAATGCCATGTAATTCACCTCGTAATATCAAGGGTGGCATCAAAAAGCATAATGCTATGGAACGAATGGTGTGTGCATGTTGCAGGCTGGATTGTGGTCCGCCTTGTCCTAGGTCTCCATGTGACCTTGGTTTCTTGGTTCTCCCTTCGATAAACTCTTTTCCTACATCTGTGAAATGAAAGGCTTAAGGCTATTGGTCATCTGGGAGATGGCTTTTCAAGCAAAATCCGTCAGAATCACGTGGGGACCTCTCTCAGGCTCCTCCTTCTCTAGGCTCTGGCACTCCTCACTGGGGGCTATGTCTCTGCCTCATCTATGCCCCTCCATGAACCTGTATGCATCCCCATCAGCCTCAATGACAGTGGCCATCCAGCACTTCCATGACCCACAGAAACAAGTGTGTTAGAAGATAAACGTAGGCTCCTTAAAATTTTAATGAGTTTTTTTTAGCATTTAGCTATTTATGAACCAGGAAGCACCAGACAGAAGTGACTCAGTTCTCCGTGTGTGTGTGTGTGTGTGTGTGTGTGTGTGTGTGTGCAGAATGCGCGGATGAGAGAAAAATTTATTAGGTGTTTGTAAGCAAGACAAAGAAAATATATTTTATTGGTTAATGTGAAAGTCCCTACCTAGGGGTTAGCTGGTGGTTTCTGATTGGTTAAGCTTATTTTGTTTTACTGTTCACATTGACTTGGGTTTTGTTTTGTTTAAGTGTGACCCCATGGCCCTCCTAGCCATCTTAGCCTAATGACTTCCCAATTAATTATTTTAGTTGTAATAAACTTAATTTATGCTGTAAGATTGTTGGTCTCAAAAACTGTGAAATAATAATGGTATTTTCATGTTATTACTGAAGAGATTCTAGCACATTAGATACTTCTTTTATTTTATAATACAAAGTTGTGTTTGGCTTTGGCCCCAGGATGATGCAGTGTGTGTGCAGAATGCGCGGATGAGAGAAAAATTTATTAGGTGTTTGTAAGCAAGACAAAGAAAATATATTTTATTGGTTAATGTGAAAGTCCCTACCTAGGGGTTAGCTGGTGGTTTCTGATTGGTTAAGCTTATTTTGTTTTACTGTTCACATTGACTTGGGTTTTGTTTTGTTTAAGTGTGACCCCATGGCCCTCCTAGCCATCTTAGCCTAATGACTTCCCAATTAATTATTTTAGTTGTAATAAACTTAATTTATGCTGTAAGATTGTTGGTCTCAAAAACTGTGAAATAATAATGGTATTTTCATGTTATTACTGAAGAGATTCTAGCACATTAGATACTTCTTTTATTTTATAATACAAAGTTGTGTTTGGCTTTGGCCCCAGGATGATGCAAAAATTGAAGCACAATGTGTAGGTACAGTGTGAGCTTGAAGACAGATTATGAAAGTAAAAATGGATAAAATAATTAGTGTTCCCAAGAACAAGTAGCATGCTGGAAATGATACTGCGAGCAGACTCCTCAAACACAGGCTAGCACCTTGCTACCAAGCTGGAGTGGTTAGAGCTTCCTGTGGGAAGTCCACGCCCACTGGAAGAAGATGGCATGCTTTCCCCACTTTGGCAAGTTATTCCTGTGACCTGTTTTCTCCCTTGGAAAATTGGGGCTGAATAATTACTATGTTGCGGCCCCATTTGGAAGATGGGAAAAAACACCAGAAATAGTAGTCATGCCTGCATAATGCTATTTCTCTCATGATGACCAATCTACAATGGTGGTCCCATAAGTTTATAATGGAACAGACAGATTCCCGCCTAGTGATGTACCCATGGTAATATTGTAGCACAACACATAACTCACTTGTCTGTGGTGATGCTGGCATAACACGGGCGCTGCACTGCCAGGTGTGTAAAAGCATAGCACATGCAATTATGCACAGTACATAACACTTGATAGTAGTCATAAACGGCTATGTTCCTGGTTTACATATTTACTGTACTAAACCTTTTGTTGTTATTTTAGAGTATACTCCTACTTACTGAAATAAATAAATTTACTGTAAAACTGTTACAGCAGCGGCCTCGTGTAGCTCATGTTTATAAGTGTCTTGATTTCATCACTTTCCCTGGTGCTTGATTTAATCTCCTAGTGTTTTATTCATTGCTTTCCTTCCAATGAGACAAAATGGGCAGTAGACCACAGTGATATTGATGATCCTGACCGTGCATAGACCTACAATAATGTGTGTTTGTGGTTTTTAATCAAGAATTTATTTAAAGTAAAGAAAATTAATGGAAAAAGCTTATAGAATAAGGATATGAGGCAAAAATATTTTTGTATAATTGTACTCTGTATTTGGGTTTTAAGCTAAGTATTAGTACAAGAGTCAAAAAAGTTAACAAATGTATAAATTAAAATATTACAGAAAGGCAATGTTCATTTATCATTGAATACAAATATTCTTTTACAAATTGAGTGTAGCCTGAATGTGCAGGGTTTATAAAGTCTGCAGTAGTGTGCAATAATGTCCTAGGCTCTCACATCCACTCACCACTCACTGACTCACTTGGAGCAAATCCCAGTCCTGCAAGCTCCATTCATGTGGGTGCCCTACAACAGTGTACCATCTTTTGTGCCATATTTTACTGCACCTTGCTGTGTTTAGATATGTTTAGGTAAACAAATGCCATTGTATTACAATTGCCTACAGTACTCAGTACAGTAACATGCTGTATAGGTGAATAGCCTACAAG